TGTTTTTCTTTGTTGCACATGTTTCCTGATGGACTTTGGAAAACCAATAATGTTTGCTGAACCTGTTTGTGTTATATGCCTTGAGTCACATGTTCCCTAATTGATTTAGTGGATGTTTACCCATATTTCTTCAGCTTTCCTTCGAAATAAGCACTGACAAGTAAGTAACGAAAAGGGCTACTAACTGAGTTTACCAAGTTTCCTACTCTATCTGTGATATGTTACGACGCAAGCTTAAATGTGCAATGCTAGGGTTATCCGTTTAGATCTTATAAATTTTACATTCTGCTGTTAGCAATGGTTGTCAAATACTTTCTCTTGTTCAGATTCTTATGTGAGCAATGCTAGTGTTAACTGCGAGCAATGCATACCCCTTGTGTGGTAATATATCTGAACGTGTTGTTGTATGTGCAGTAAGAGGAGGTTACAGATCTTAAAATGATGATACTATTAGTTGAAATTTGCCTCTGCATGCACCAGCTAGAATGGAATAGGATTAGCAAATGAAGTAACTACTCTCCTGTTTTGATCAAGGTAAGCATCACTACTTCTTTGCCATCATGATGAAATGCGCGAATATTTACAGGTTGCTTATCCATGTGTTTTGCATATATAATGAAGCTAGTAAGCAAAAAGGACAATGTTGGTTCTCTGATTGTGATAATTTGGACGTGACTCAGGATCTTATTATTTGGCTACAGAGATCTGGTTAGCACTATCCTAAAGAATTGTTTCTATTAGCCGGAGATTCTTAAAAAATGCTGGGTTGATATATAATGCTGCTTTAGTTGATAGCTGTGCAAATATGGAAGTTGTATATGATGCTGTTTTGCTTGATAGCTGTGCAAATATCCATGGCATTTTATCACTACATGTTGATACAGGTAAATAGTATAAGCAGCAGATTTTAGACTATGAATACCTGATATTTATTTTCTGTTTTACATTTTAATAGCTAGACAAGAATAGGAATATGCTGTGCAGTTGGATAATTTGTTCTATTTTCTCACTGCAGGCCGCGAGAGATATTTCACAAGGATGTCTTTCATATTCAACCATCGTGCAAGTCCTGTCTTGCTTAAAGGACATGAGGATGTCTTGATTGCTGGCTGTATGGAAGCACATCCACACATGTAACTCAGTCATGTGGGATACATATATATTGTGTCGAAATCTGATAAATGTGCGCGTGTTGATGGATTTCCTTAGTAGGTATAGTGCTGCATTGCTCATTTTTGTTAATATGTTGTGGTTGTTATAGCAAGGAAGTTTCACTTTTATCTCCACTTAAGTGATTGACATGGAAGTGAATGTGAAGCATCAGTAATTATCCTAGTTGGTGACAAGTAGAGCTAGCTGTATGCTCACTGTTTACATTACTTCTAACTTCTGTAAGTATGCTCACTGTTTATATTTTCTGAAAAAGGTGATCCTTGTCTTGACATTTTCTCATGTTCTGGCGAGCTGTTACTGATGGCCTGGTAATTCTGTAGTTACGAGAAGTCCATGCATTGTAGTAAATGTTTAATCTGCTTGAGGTTTCGTTTGCCACATTTTCAAACCAAGCAGTAGTCCATGCACTTCATTTTAGGCAAGTTAAAATTCTGCTGCCATACTATTACCGATGATCTAATCTGGCTATGTGCAATCAAATAAGCTCTTCAGAAAATTTGCCTATAGCAATAACATACTACCAGTCCGTAAGATTGATTAGTTGGAGGGGTCCGTAAGATGCTTTCGTGACCAGTCCGTAAGTCTAGCTTTTTTGCAGCGATATTTTACTGAAAAACTTCTTGATTCTGACAGCTGTGGGAGGTCCAGATACGGCTCTGATGAATCATCCCACTTCAGACTTCAGAGCGGATGAATAGCTAAAAGGTATCAAAGAGACATGCGAGTCTGCAGGAGTGTAATATTGTTGTTGTCCAACTAAAACTAAGTAATAAAGTGCTACAGAACACATCTCCTTATCAATATAACCATTCTCTTCTGGGATATGTTTGGGTTTCAATTTCATCATGCAGTTTGGTAATATATATCTGCACACCGCATTATATTTGACAAGCTACAGCAACTTGGGCACCACAGCAATTATCAGGCGCATGTTTCTACAGTGTCCAGCAATACTGACAACATGCATCACATGGTCAAGAAATCGAGGCACAAGTAATAATCTAACAAAGTAGCACGTACTAACAATTAAGACATCGCTACAGATTAAAGAATTCACACACGTCCCTGTTTTGGAATCCAGTCCGTGATCATGCTGCCACATTAGTCATCTATCCTTCCCAGATCTATTTGTTGTGAAAATGTGCCTGTATATCAAAAGGGAATAAAATTATAACCTACTCCCTCCGATCCATATTAATTGTCGCCACTTTAGTACATAAAGCAGTGACAACTAATATGGATCAGAGGGAGTAGTTCTTCAATGATATTTGGAAAACTAATGAAAGTTACCTAATTTTCTTTAGCTGGCTGGTTAGATCGTTCATCTCCATGAATGACAGCTTCAGTGACGATATAGTTCCGGGTACCTCTTGTGCTGCTAATTTCGACAATTTACGAGCTGCGATTTCCATCTGCTGCAGAGCCTATTCACAATGAACAAGAACAAGATGTATTGGCGAAAGAGTATTTTTGACTTCATGAGGAATATGTAGCATTTATTCAGACGATTTACTCACTCTCCATGCTGGAAATGAGACGATAACTAGTGATAGAGCTGAGCTGATCACCTGAAATTAGTAGGAAAGTTGAACTCTACCGATTAGCAGTGTGTGCAAGGATTAGAATGAACTTTGACCATGATAAACAACAGATGCAGAATGGCCTAGGATTACAACACTCTACTACAGCATACAACCGAGCGATGCATGAGAAAACCGCCACAACTATAACTCAGTATGACCAAATATTTAGCAGCCATTTTAACTGAATGGCCAATTCTACTACAGGCTAGCATCCGTACAGGACAACTGAAACTAGCTTCATATTTCACCGAGCCATTTCAGCACATGAGCACAAATGCAGGGTGGCTTCATAGTGGAACCAAAAAAGGAACGACGAGGCGAAATGCACAGCAACCTGAGGGTGCTAATTGTCAACTTCAGTAGAACTTATCTGTACAACAAATAGTCAATAGATGCCATGCAGTTTCCCACATCGCCACACTGATAAGGAACTTCTAAAATTTTGCAAGTTTATTGTAAGATACCAGTTTAGACTCATCAATGCACAAATGCTTGTAAGTTCTACCCTTGTAAGTACTCACTCCATCCGAAAAAGCTTGTCCTAAGCTTGTCTTTCAAATGGATGTATCTAGCACTAATTTGGTGCTAGATACATCCATTTGAGGGACAAGTTTTTTCGGACGGAGGGAGTAGTACTTGCTAACATGCTTAAGCCTAGGAAAGTATCTAACGGGCTCTCAGCTAATCTATGAATTCAAACCTTTTGCTATCCTATATCCATCAAGATCCCAAAATACTAAGCCCCTTAACATTTCAGATAAAGTCCATCTCCCCGCACAAAAAAAAAGTCCATCTGTCCAGGAATTTGATGTGTTCCTTGCAACATGGAGACTTGTGCTCAACTTGGTATGAGAATAATATAACCAATGTGGAAAACTGCAGAATTTGCTCATGAGTTAACCATTGTGTGGTCTATCGAGCAATCAAGAGCCGATAGCTCAATGCGAATGAAATGTTGAAGTGTATTGACACTTGACAGGTCTGTTGGTAACTTGTTAAGACACAAGGGACAAAATCCCCAATTAACGGAGGCATACCATGCCGAGCACGAAGAGGAGGAAAGCGAGCCCCGTCGCGGCGTCCCTCCGGACGGTTCTGGCGGTAGGGGGCGGCGGCGGAGGTATCGAGTGCGCCGCTACGAGGCGCGGCCGGGTCTGCTGGCGCGCGCTGCCGCCACCGGCGGGGACGCTGGAGGAGGTCGGAGCGCATGTGGCCCTGACGGAGAGGCGGCAGCGCGGGTGCCCCGACGGCGGCGGGAGCTGCACCGCCGGCGAAGGGACGAAGAGCCAGCTGTAGGGTGCTGTGTGGGCGCCGCACGACATGAAAGGCAACGGGCTGAGAGGGAGAACTGAGCAAGAGCATCTGCAATAACGCTGCTTGATCTGAACATATCTACACAACTAACCTGAATAAGTGAATATACTTGGCTAAGTTACAACTAAATCAAGACTAACAATCAGATGTACAGAGAAACACACGCTTTAAGGATGTGTCTAGGGCACATCTAAATGTGCTTTAGTTATTGCACATCTAAGTGAGTGAATCAAGCATAAAAAGAAAAAGAAAAAAGAGAAAGAAAATATTCACACGAATCTCAATGTACGATCAATGACATATGACTTAGATGTGCGATACTTATGGCACATCTAGATGTGCTTTAGCAAAACTGTAACACAAAATACCTAAAGAATCACCAAGAAAAGGAAAGACCAAAGGAAGAAGAAATAAACGATAATCCTCGCGCTAACAATAATTGTCATGAAAAACGTTCGATTTGCCATGGTCAAAAATCTGGCATTCAATTTGTAGCAAAATGAAGAAATACTCCAGAAAGAAGTGTATATTGAATTGTTTGCCATGGTCAAAAATCTGGCATTCAATTTGTAGCAAAATGAAGAAATACTCCAGAAAGAAGTGTATATTGAATTGTTTGTTACGTGTTCACAAATACAATAAACCTTTTTACAAACCATGTGTTGCCTATTTACTCTCGGTTCTCATCGTGCAAGCACTCCATTCTTCATTACACACGAAGGGCCATAATGGATACAAATGTACTTTTTTTCTTCAGAGTTCAAGCATCCATTTATTCTTTGTTTAAGAAAGAAATAAAAGGCTCTCTCTTTTGTTTCAGCTTTTTACCTATCAATTCCTTTACAGCAGGGCTCCCATGTCCAAGATACCCAAACTATTCTAGGATACGTGCGTGGAAACCTTCGGAAACATCACAGTGCTCTCGACTCCTCAAGCCGATTCCGCAAACCCGATTCTGTCCTTGCCGAAGTCGAACATGGTGTGGTAAGCGCCCATGAAGACATCCCCAAGAATCCTACAAGGGTTCATGGAAAATGTTGCACCTGCAAGAGGAGAAAAAAGGAGGCGAAATGAAGGTGGTGTGAGGTGTTATGCTGCATACCAGAGAGGACCACGTGGGGGCGGTATGTCGAATGCCATGAACCCACTGATGCAGACGGTTTGCCCTGATTGCTCCAGTTTCACAACGTACTGCAACACAGGTTTCACATAGTGTAAGGATGCATGGAGATGTGCAGCGATGGATATAGATGGGTACTAAACTTCAGAAGTTTGAAACCTTTTTTTCTCGAACATGCACCTAAATGCATGTTGTTGTGTATTAGAAGGAAACATCAAGATATGAAGCAGACTAGAATAGAGAAGAACAAACAATGAAGTCAATGGAATTTGCTTTCCAACAAAATTCAATCACATGCCATGTACTAATCGCCTCATCCTAAATCTCGATCCAAGAGATTCTCTTTTAAGAACTTGATCAATAGGTTTCTAAGTTTTGATTCAACCTATTTGTCTGTACATATATCTATCTCACTCTAAAGGTATAAGATTCCTAGGAAATATATATACTTCAAAATAACCTTCAAAAGTATGGTATGAACTACACAGATGTTCTAAGTTCGCCGATAACTTATTCACAGCATGCTGAGAAAATATTCATATGGTAAAGTAGATTGACTGTTTACCAAGGACAACATATGGTAAAATTATTGATTTACTGAACTAGAGAAATGAGCTGTAAGTAACCAAAAAAGCACCTGCTCTGGTGTTAGCACGAAAGTCTTGCTTGCGATGGTGAAAGCAAGATTCGGCATCTTTGACATCTCATGGCAGCTGACTGTTGACTCTCCATTTGGGCTCGGTAGACGCTCACACAGCTGGGAGATAAAAGGCAAAAATCTTGTCACAAATTACCCATTTTTTTCACGAATTACATTGCAGCAGAGAATGGAAAAGGGCAAAGCAGATCACAAAGGAAGTAACCTGGTTAGCATATTGCAATATCAGCTCCTTTGTTTTGTTTTCACGGAGCTGGTTCTCTATCCACACAACAGCCATCTCACAGGCTGTGCACATAACATCCGAGCCAACATTTTCTTTACCGACAACGGATTCAATCCCGTTGCTGCAAAAATATTATCCCATCGTGAAAAGGAGTTTAATAGTAGTACTGAAAGGGCAGGTTTATTCATGTAGATTACAACGTTCTGTCATAAGGAACTAACCTGACAGAGTGAGTACCATCAAACAAACACAGACCAATCTGACTGCAAACTTTCTGTGGCTGTGTCTGCACGAACATATTGCATTGTCACATCAGTTACAGTTCAGGGTTAATTCATAGAAGAACCATCTCACGAAAAACTCTTCCATGGATGGAAATTTGAACAAGGGATGGAAAGCAGAGAAAATGGCAAACCTGTGCTATTAACAATTCGAGGATCATCTCTCCGTACTGGCTCACCACCTCTTTACATTCGGTGCTGATAATTCCCTCAGCTCCAATTGCATGGTTCACCTGCGCAACTATAGCCTGCAAACATCACAACATAGGCAACCATTTAGTCATGCCATATTGGCATAGGCCATAATCTAGTTCAGTACTTCAAGGCCTTCACTATATTTGACAGATACCAGACACTATCTAGCATTCAGCTTCATTCAAAAGTAATTAATCCAGTGATCAGTAACTCCCGCTTAGCAAAGAAATCTGTGGTTCAGTGGCCATGCTCATACAAATACAGAATAAATACGGAAAATATTTGCATAACTAATTTCAAGATATCGATGCATACTGTTGGGCCAGCCAGCAGGGAAGTCCCGGAGTCCACAATAGCAGCACAGCCTTTTGCACAGAAGCCAGTAGAGTGGCCATCAATCAAGAGATCACCCATGTTAAACTGCCAGTAACCTTTGCGGCTCACAGGGACATAGGTGTGGTTTCCCTTATAGTGATCCGGGTCCATGCCACCGAAGACGAGCTCACCGCCAGAAAGTGCATCAGAATCCCGGTTAAGCCAAAATGAGAATACGTCGTCAGCGAGCAACTTCTGCTCTTGCATGCTCAGCCTGTTGTCGCACAAAAGATAAAGGACTTGTTCAGTTAATAAACTGGCGATGTGGCTGATGTGATTGTAGACAAACGGTCTAAATAACTTGACGACGTACCATACTGGAGGGGCTTTTCCAACGGAGATGTCAGGGTAGCCAAGGCCAAGGATGCCATCAAACTTCCCGACGATAAAACTAACACTTGTTTCACGTGTTGTCTCGATGAATTTCTGAGATGAGAAAATAAATTGAAGCATTTTAGAGTTGTGCTAGGTGAAGGTTAACATGAGGAATTATTATACTCAACTTCTAAGTTACCTGATTTTTCACAACAAGGTCCCCAACCAACACATTATCATTGCTGAAAAATCCAGAGATTGCTCCAGAACCATATGTAATTTTGCAAGTCTCACCTGAATAATTTCAACAGACAACACATATGAAATTCAGCAATAATCTCGTGAATAGCGCAAACATGCGATCCTGACTTCAGAAAAGCGAATCATACCATCTGCTTTGTAAGTGCTTGACTTGCTCGACTTGTATTTGGGATGGAGGTAGCATGCTATCTGCAGTCCATTTGCATTCATATCAAGGAAAAGAAAAAACATAATGTACAAGACTGCCACAGGTTAAAGCACACATGAATTCGGTAAATTTGCGGCATGAACACTGACCGAAAAATAGCATTTCGCCGAGGGAACCCAGAGGTTGGAGCTCCCGGTGTCAAATATCACTGTGAAATTCTGCGGCGGCGTGCCGAGGCCGATGACCCCATAGTACTGTGTGTTGAGGTAGTCGACAAGAGGCACGATGTCGCTGTCTGAATTGCCGCTCTTCAGTCGGAGGGCATCGTGCTGCCTCGCGGCCTTTGCTGCGGCCAGAGATTCATGGGTCAAGCTCTTCTTGTTGAGGTTGATCCTAAGCAGTCCATCACGCGAGGAAGCGTGGTGCGGCACGGCGCATGAAAGAGCCCACAGACAGGTGGTCACCAGTAATAGGAGCCTCTGCCCCATGGTCTCAGAAACTCAAAAGAACCTGATGTAAAAAAAAATCAGCCGCAGTTAGCCAATTCATCCTTGTTCATGTGTGGTTGAAGCCAACTTGGAAGTCAAACAGTGATATGTGCCATTCAGGACATAGAACCCAAATTCTCAGATAAACGAGCAAATTTTACAACTCTGGCAACGCCCTTCTATAACTTCCCCTGAAACAGGGGAACTGGCAACAACTACTACTAGTATGTATGTCATCAGATTTATTGCAGATTCAGTACAGTTTTTCAGTGCAGTAGAAACCATAGCAGTTTATATCATCAGGATTTGCACCAACCAAACTGACATATAGGCAAATCACACAACACACCCATCCATCCATCCAAGAACAGCAAGTGGCATATATATGGACCAAGCTTGGACTCCCAAGAACTAAAAACGGATTGAACCTAACAGCCAAACTGATGTGTGGTGACGGCAAGCAAGAGGTCAATTTTATACTAGTACTGCCGGCATCAGTAACTAGATAGAGCAGATGCTTGGCTTAGTCGGTGAAGGAAATCCCTTACCTCGCCTGCGTCGGCGCGTCGGCAAGCTCCTCCACTCCCAACTTCCAGGGAAGGGATAGCAGACGGGGGGCGTTGCGAGTGAGACGGCGGCGAAGTCAAGGAGGAGGAGGAGGGGGAAAGGGAGAAGCAAGAAAGAAAGGAAGAGACGCACCCGCCAATCACACGAGGGAGAGTGCGCGCGGCATATTCCTTCCTCTCCGGAGGCAGCTGAGTTCATGAAACGTGTCGCTCGGCCGTGGGCCCGGATGGGATATGGGCCCGCATGTAGGTGGCTGGATTGGCGGACGGGTGAGACGAACGGATGGAACGGAGACATCGGGGCCGGAGAGGAGAGGAGAATTGAAGGCGCGCGACTCACGAGAGCAACGTGTTGCCGGTGGCGTGCTGCGCCACCGCGATCTTTTTAATTTTAATTTTGTTTTGTACTCCTATATAACTCCCGATTTTTTTAGGGATCGTATATAACTCACTCCCGAATTAAGTGCGGTGGTATTTCGTGGGTCACGTTCTTTTTTTTCGTGGGCCACGTTCTTTTTTTAAGTGCGGTGGTATTTCGTGGGCCATGTGAGCTGGGAGTACGCTTCCTGGGCTCTCTGTTTGCGTTGCTCTATCTCCGTGGACTCCCGTATTTTGCGAGCTAGTGTGTCTTTTTTACGAAGATTTGAGCCCATTTGCAGTAACTGATGGGCCTATTTTTTGCGCCAGCAGCCCGTAGTCCTCCTTCCGGGCCAAGTCCATGTTACATTCTCTCTCTATTTTTTTCAGAAAAAAAAACTTCTCTGAAATTGGTTATGTTATTCAGAGTTAAGGGGTAGGTGGTTTATCTACCATGCATAGATCCACCGTTCATGGTTATTTTGAGATCCGTGTTACCATTGTGGTTGTTGTAAAATTTTATTTGTTTTAAAATGTTACATTTTTTTCTTGCTTCAATATGTATCATCATGTTTCTTTGCGTACCAACAAAAGCTAATACACTCATTTTAAAAAAGGTAATACACTTGTTTTGGTTCGCTGGTAGACGAGGATATTACATAATGAAACATTAAGATGCACTTTCGAACGAGAGGGAGAACACAATGTTAAGCTTTAAAACAAGATAAGTTCTAAAAAAATTAAAAGAAGTAGCACACATCTTAAAGTAACCATGGACAGTGAATCATTTTTTTAATTACATGAAAAATTTGTATATAATGTGTAAACATTTTTTGTACACATGACTAACATTTTCCGTACACATGTTTAACATGTTCTACTTTTTTTGTTTGACATTCATACTCCCTCCATTCCAAAATATAGTGCGCCCGCGCTTCCTGAGGTCCAACTTTAACCATAAATTTAACCAACGAGACCAACTGCGGCAGGAGAAAAAAATATATAATTGAAAACTTCTTTCGAATACGAATTCACTGATATAATTTTTGCTCCCGCCGCAATCGGTCTTGATAGTTAAATTTACGGTCAAAGTTGAAGCACGAGGATAGAGGAAGCACTACATTGTGGAATGGAGGGAGTACATTTTTGGTGTGCATCAAAAACATTTTTGCACATATTTTAACATTTTTCAAATGCAAGACTATTTTTAAATGTAAATTTGATTTTGTAATATACTCCCTCCGTCCCGAAAAACATGTTGCAGGCTCAGTTCATTTGTAATTTTGCTAAATAGCCCTCGCAGATTTAAAACCATCTCAAATAAGTCCCTCCATCCCCGTCTTCTTCCTCCGCCTTCCTCCACCGTCGACAAGGGCCGGCGCCGCCCAGCTGCGCGATTCGCCGCCCACCAGGAAGTCCTCCGCCGCCGTCGCCACGTACCTGCGCCCGCCTCAAGCTCCAGCGCGTCCTCCTTGAGCTCCCGCGGATCCTCCTCGAGCTCCCGCGCGTGTGCCGCCGTAGTTCCTCCCGGCCGTGATCCCCTTCAGGTGTCGCCGGAAACTGGATCAGGAGCTCGCGTGCTTCCTCCTCGATCTCCCGCGCGAGCCCCTGCTGCTCCTTCTCCCCTGCCCGCGCGCTCGTGCGGCTGCTTCTCCCCTGCCGCCGGTGGAGCTCGTCTGCCCCTGCTGCTGCTCGTCTTCCCCTGCTGCTGCTGCTCGTCTGCCCCAACGCTGCTCGTGCGGCAGGGCCGTCGCCGCCGCTGCTCCATCCCCGCCCGATCGAGGTGATTTCTCCTGCCACGAGAAACAAATTGATTCCAGTGTCAAGCAAAGTGATTCCTGTACATGATTCCAATATTTTTGGAAACAAATTGATTCCAGTGAGAAAATCAAGCAAAGTGATTCCAGAATTTTTGGAAACAAATTGATTCTAGTGCAATTAGTGAGAAATTCAAGAAAACTGATTCTAGTGAGGCGCAGGACCTGCTACTCTGCTCCCTTGAGCCTGCCCGTCGTGCTGCTACTCTGCTCCTGCTAACTGCTTGCAGTGCTGCTGCTGCTGATGCTCCATCGCCCGTGCTGCTGCTGCTAACCATCTACTGTTGATCCAAGTGACCGTGGTGCTACTGTCTGATCTCTGAAGAAGGTACTGCTACCTGAAAATTGTGTGCCTGATAGATCAAATGACTGTGTTGCTTTGCAGTCAAATTTAAAAATCTCTATTACTATAATTGCAGTAGATCAAATGATTCAAATCCATTTACTGTTACAAGATCCTGAAAATTCAAATTCAGTCACTGTTACAACCCCAAAAAGAATTTGTGGGTGCCTGATAGATTAAAATTTTAAATTGTGTGATTGATAGTGTTGGAAGCAATTGTGTGTGACTGTTGACTGCAAATTTTCTGAATGCAAATTTGTAATGCATGAAACATAAAGGCACATATTCACACTAAATCAGTTTCGACAGTGTCAAAGCATACAGTAGTAGTGACAGTAATTTTGATAATTCAAGCAAATTAATTGAACCTATCTATGCTTGACATGGCACAGAAAAAATCAGTAGATGCAGAGCAATTATGATCTCAACAAACACTGTCTCTAAAACTGTTACTAGAGGAACTACTGTAAGTAGAGTAAAGTTGGTGGTGAATGAAGGGAAAAAACATGGGCCAGTTGTTAAGCCAGGCAGAACAAGATGATTTAGTGGCATTAGCACTTTAGCAGAGCACATCACAGTTCAGAGACAAAGAAGGAAAAACCTACTCCAAGGTAGCAGAAATAAGACAAATTCATTCATGGCAGTAAAAAAGAGGTTAGGAGCAGAATCATAAGATGATAAGTAAGTAGAGTAGTTATATATGGCACTTGCTAGAGGAACTGCTACTAGCTCTGTGACCTCTATCAGTACTAGAGGAACAAACAAGAGAATGGTTGTAGAAACTACTATAAGTGGAGTAAAATTCAGTTAAAACTACTGTAAGTAGAGTAACTTCAGTTAAAACTACTGTACGTAGAGTAAAGTTCAGCAAAACTACTCTAACTAGAGTAAAATTCAGTAAACTGGATTAGTTTGACATGAAGGTACACTGAATGCATTTCTCTGACAAAATCCTGTTACAGACATTGACAATATATACACATACAGAAAGTAACTTCCCATTGGAAGTCAAGAAAAAGCAAGCAAGCAAGAAAGGAACAAGACATGGTCAAAATTCAGTTAAGATACATACAGTAAAATCCAATTGTATGACAGGAGTTGAAATCCAATTCTTTCTAAAATGACAGGAGTTGGAAGTTTCATAAGAAATGAAATGGTGTTACAAAGGCTCCTGTCATAACATTTCTTAGTCAGTAGTTCACATTTTTGTAATGGTTGCAAGGCTCCTGTCATTCTACTCATTTTTGTGTGTATATCCTTGTTATGGTACCATGATGTACTCATCTTTTGTCATTGCTAGCAGGAGTATGGATTTGAACATGATGCCTCAAGAGGAAGACGATGAAGGTATTAATTTGAATTTGATGCCTCAAGAGGAGGAACCTCAAGTGGCAGATAACGTAGTTATGGATTTGAACTTGATGCCTCAAGAGGAAGACGATGAAGATATGAATTGGATGCCTCAAGAAGATGAAGGGAAAGAAGATGCAGCTCAAGAGGAAGAGGATGAAGTTATGAATTGGATACTTCAAGAGAAGAGAAGAGAATTGTCAGATAAGGAGAGGCATGGTGTTTACTTTGCCTTGCTGGTAATCGAGCTCAGAGATGGGTCTGTTCAACCAGACGACAAGCTGCTGGTCTCAAACCTGTTGGATATAAGTGTACGATCTATTGAAAGAATCTGGGAATAGGCTAAAAAGCCAATTGCCGATGACAAAGAAGTAGATGTCTCAAGCAAGAAGCCAGGAAGATCCGACCGAAAGAGAAAGGAGCTAGATCTAGAGAGGACCTCAACAATCGCACTGAATAAAAGAAGAACAATTCGATCTCTGGCATGGTCTCTAGGTGTGGCCCGATCGACCCTACATAAGAGGTTCAAGTTGAATTAGCTCAACCGCATCACAAGCACCGTGAAGC